TTTGGGAACTTGGGACAGGCTTCCACAGTGGCTGTGGATAAACTTCATTTCATCTCCCTAAACATGCCCTTACCCATGGTTGCTTGGAAGCAGAATTGAGACTGTATATTTAAAAATAATTCGACTACATCCTGGGCGGTGCTGCAGTGATATGGTTTGAGGTGGTGAAACAGCCTTTACACAAACGATACTTGTATTAATCCCTTTGCAAGTTGAGAATCGTGTAGGTTAGGGTGCAGCTAGAACTTGCTGATCCTCTGGTGACCATTACACTAGTGGTTACTGGTTTAAAAGAATCCTAGAAACAGAGGACTGTGCTTTAGGATGTGATAGGGTGAACTGAGGTTTGTTAAAGGGCTAGGGATATAATAGATGCAGATGACATTTTACCTCTCTTGTTTTAACTGAATATTTAAATATCAAATGCATAGTTCAGATTTTATGAAGCTGTAACTATGTACCTCCTTCTGTATTAAGTTACAAAATAAGACTATATACTCCTGCTAGCTAGGTACACATAGGTGAATGGCTTATGTTTTTGCTTTAACAGCTCATGCCTTGTTCTTGTTAAGTCTGCTCTGACAAGTCAGCTGCCAGAGTCTGTTATTGCTTCTGGAGTGGCTTTGTGCCTTGAGCCATAGATTTCTTGAACTCCCAGAATTTCCTTTGTGAAGGGCTGATATTACTAACTGCACAGGGTTATCATGGGGATTAAATGCAGGAGTGGATTGAAAGGCACTTATCAGAGTGCCTGGCACATAATAATTGACCCATAAATGTTAGCTATTATTGGAACACCAAAGTAAATGCATTTGTTCAGGAATGTGACTGTGCATAATGTTTGTAGTTATCTTGTGTTTAACCTGATAGGTGTTCTCTGTACTTAGAATTCATTGCAGCTCTCCTGCCAAGAGTAACCCTGAGTTGGCATGAAGTTATAAATTATATGTAAACAATATGATTCTAAAGTTAAAGTGTATTGCAAATAGCTAAGAAGCAAAACCGCCTTCAATGAATCTCACACTAAAAAGAACACTTCCTCTTGCTCACTGATACTTGTTTTTTTTTTTATGTATTTATTTACTTATTTTATTGGAAGGACAGCTGTTTTGGGCCTCCCAGTGTCATGGTTCACAAGTTGAGGTCTGAGGAGAAGGTCTAAGGTCCATTGTCACTAAGGTCTAGTGTGAGACAGTCTCTAGTTGTTCATTGCTGTATACACAAACATAGCCCACTCATGACCCTCCAGGAATTCCCCTGTCTCTGGCTCCCATCTGCCACTGGAGCACTGGAATTATGGATGCATGGAACTGCTCTGGTTTCACATGGGTGCTGGGAATCTAAACTCAAGTCCTCATGTGTATTCAGCAAGCACCTGCCCCCGAGATGACAGTCTTAGCACCTTTATAACCGTAAGCTGTGGGACAGATGGCTGGATTCACCTTCTGCCATCTTGAGAAGGACATTTGACCTCTCTGTACTCCAGAACCATCATATATCAAACAATGACAATGTTGGTTGTAATAATGCCTGTTACAGGAAAAAACACACATAGCAATGATTTTACCCTGGAAAGGAAATGATAAGAGTTTAAAATAATGTCTAACATGAAATAAACATGAATATAATCTTCTGTTACTTGTACTGAGTTTATACGAATGTATATTTTGGAAAGGATTAGTTTATAAGGAAAACACTTTTAGAAAACTGTTAATTTCCTTCTCTTTTTCAAAACAGTGCGGTCTGTAAGTTCACCAAGCTGGATCGAGTATTATATAAAAAGATAAACTTCTCTACCTACCTCCTCCACAGTGTCCCCTTCCAGACGTGACTGACATTTCATTTATAACCACAGTTTATATCTTTAAGATAATCTGGCCTGTAATGATATGCTCAGATAGATGTACGAAAAAGATCCTCTCACACAATCTCTCAATGTGGATTTTAAAGTATGACCTTGACTTCCCTGTCGCCAAGTTCTACGGTGTTTGGCCCTGGATTTGACATCTGAAAGTGGCTCTTTACGGGGCATCTTAGCTCAGATGTGGTTTCCCTTCTGTGGACAGGTCTGATCTCCCCAAGCACGCCTGTTGTCACTTGACACCCAAGCAGATCCACTCACATCAAACTTGACCTTGACTTTAGGGTGGGTGTGCTACACTTGTGCTCTGGGGGCTCAGTGTCCCACGCTCTTTCCTCTGGGAGCTCTAGGTCTCACATACTCTCTGTATTCATCACAAGCCCAGCCACCTATCTATCCCCAAGCCGAGCGACATTTCCACTTGAATTCTGTATCACTACATCACACTGAACTTGCATTTCTTCAAACTGTCCTTGCAGGCTCCTGGTGTCACACATACCCTGTAGGTAGCAGTTTCCTCCGGGGAGATGGTACCTCGGTGGCACTCTCTCGCCATTCCTTTTGTGTACCACCAGTCAGTTGATGTTCCTTTTGCCAAGCTATTTGTTCATCCCAGAACTTTCCAGTTTCCACTCATATCAAGTGCAGACACTTCAATTTCTCTTAGGTGTTTACAAATTCATCTTTAAAGCCTGTGTACCAAGAGTCCAGCTGAAGTGTGATGGACAGGCCTCTGCTGCCATGCCAAGCCCATATCTTACATGCATCCCCCCTAGTTTCACAAAGCTTCAGGAAAGCCAATGCACTTAGAGTTTATACTTGCCTCTTAGCATTCCTTTGGGCATTATTTACACTGTGTGACAAGAATCCACTTTTTTTTTTTTTTTTTTTTTTTTTTTTTTTTTTGCATGTAGGAAGATGGGACCTATTCTTTAAGTGTCTTCCAATTAAATCCAAATCTAGCATAGCATCTGGAACAGGAAATATACACATATAATGCACATAACCACTAGATATTGCCTCTGAAAAAGACCAAAGAAAAACTTACCCCCAACCCCTTTAGTATGTAAATGAGGAATCTGAAGTGCTTTAGAATTTAGTAGCCTTTTGAGATATATGCTTCCTTTTACTCATGCACATTATATCTAGGAGCTTTTGACATTGTTGATATGTTTGTATTTTAGAATAAATTTATTGTTTACTAAACACAAGTTTCACTTAAAAACTAAGTCATCCCACAATACTAAATCTAAGAAAATAGCACAGCAATTGTGGCACTACACAGTTGTAGTACGTAGCACATACTACTCAAGTAATAGGAGGCTTGAAGACGGTGTGGTATGGTCCAGTTCGTCTGCATTTGAATAATAGCTAGTTGGTTGAGAGCACACATCAGTCAGCCCAGGAAGCAGCATTTGCCTGGGTTCTATAAGATTTCCTCAGCACAAAATGAGAAAACCAGTGATTTTCAGTATAATGTCAAGGGTGAAGAGAAGGTCATCTGGTGGATGTTTCTCAGCTCTTTGAGCATGTCTATTACAGAGCCAGTGCTGTCATCCAGGTCCAGGGAAGGGGACCTCAGCTTCCTCAATTACCACACTTCTCCTCTCTGGAATGACTCCCTCTCCTTAGGTCTGACTGAGCATTAACCAGTTCCAAAGACTCTCTCCATTTGCATCTGCACTTGGGAGTGCCTGCCTAGCATCCTCTCTCTTGTTTTGGAAGCTTTAAAGCTGGCTTCAGCAGCCCCATCTTTTAGACCTTCCAGGGCACTCCTGCTAGGCTCATTTGAATTATAGGCTTCAGAGCAATTCTTCGTGGGAGGATACAAATAGAGTGTGGTTGGAGGTCTGTTTATTATGGGATTCAGAAACCCTAAAAAATGCCAAGAACTCTGAATCTTGAAACATACCAAATGATATCCACCGTGCAGTCTGCAATTCTGATAGCCACCCTAGTCATTTCAAAGATTAAATGTGCAGTCCACATAAAACTACCCTCACTTCAGACATGTATACAAATCCCAAGATAGCTGCACTGCTCACAAGCTGGCTACTAATACAAGAATCCCTGTCCATGGCTCTTCAGTCATTCAGAAAACTGAAACACCAAAATTAGGAGAGGTGAAATCATAACACTCAGAGGGTAAGTCCGGGAAAATTCCACTTGTTCCTAGGTTATGTCACCTCCTGTGAAGCATGTGTCACAAGCAGAAAGCTTACAAGAGTTCTCAGAGGTAGGTATGATTTACTGAAGCAGTGATGATGCTGAGAGGATATCCAACCCACTGCCATTCTTAGACTTTGAAAGTCTAGTCTGATTGCCCATAGTTAAGGACCTCTGTGAGCACACAGTGTTTCTGGTGTTCACCCTGAAGCTGTCTAAGGATCCCACAGCCAGTTTCTCCATGGGCATTAAAAAGAGTCCCAGGGCCCCATCATAAAAACAAGCATACTCGTAACCACTTGAGAACTTCAAGGGTCTGGAACCCTTGACAAGACCCTTGTTCCCAGGGACCCAAGACAAGGACCAAATAAATGATTATTATAAAACATTCAGAAAATACAACACAGATTAAAGATACTTAAGTCACAGAAATCCAAAAAGAGAAGCTTCTAGGGTTTATGGAGGAAAAACTCACTTAAAACCTTTTATTTAAACAAGTTATAAGTCGCCCTGTATATTATTAGAATCTCTTCATTTGTATTTTTTCACTCATTCATTCATCATTACTTATTGAACCCTGTAGTCACTAGAAATGCTGTTAAACTTTTTCATTTTATTTGTATAACATAGTAAAAAAAGATGAAATGTCTGAAGTCATTCTCTCATTTGATTCTAATCTAAATGAATCTGAGGTCTGAGATAATTGGATAAGTTTACGTCTCAAGAATAATGGAGGAAAGCCCCCAAGGTTACAAAGTATTGAACACTAGGAGATGTAGGGAGTTTGGGGAAGCAGGCAAAATAGAAACAGGAACTTTTTGTTGACCCAAATCTACTACTTAATCTTATGTCTATAAACAAAATGAAGAAGTGTTTTGAAACGTCATGTTGTAAATTGTTCTTTTTGCTGTTGTTTTTGCTTTCCTGTAATTGGAGCAACATACTAATTTCTACAAGTTGTGACTACTAACAGAGAGCAATCACCTCACAGACTTGTACCGAAGAGAGGAGAACATCCAGGTGACAGGCAATGGTCACGTGCAGAGTCCTCGATTCCCCAGCAGCTACCCCCGGAACCTGCTCCTCACATGGAGGCTCCACTCACAGGAGAAAACACGCATACAACTGGCCTTTGACCATCAGTTTGGACTAGAGGAAGCAGAAAATGACATCTGTAGGTAAGAGAAAATAAGCCTCTGTAGTCTTTTAATCAAAGTGGGAAAAACTGAATTTAAAACATTCTTCTTAAACTGCCTGAAATTACCAAAGACATTTTTTTTTGTTGTTATTGTTGTTGTTAGTCTTCGTTTTTGTTTGGTTGGTTGGTTTGCTTTGGTTTGGTTTTTTATTTTACTTCATTGTGGGTTTTTTTCCCCATTCCTGTGTAAAAAAATTGTTTAAGTGAGAAGGTTTTAGGCTCACAGTCTGAGGATCTCATTGAACCTGTAGAAGATGCTCACAGCCTACCTACTGTCAGCAAGAATAGAGGGACAATGTTGGGAGTCACCTTGTTTTCCCTTTCCATGCAATATAGGACCCTAGCATGGGGGATAATGCCAACATCTTTTAGGGTAAGTTGCAATTCAAATTAACAGGTTTTCAGTCAATACTAACAATGACAATGGCCTTTCTTTTTAAAAAGTGTTATGTTGGTACTGTAGAAGGCCCATAGAAATGGACACGGTCATCAGTCGCCATTACCTTTCCCTGATAATAGACTCTGGGATCTGTGATTTTCCAAAGCCCATGGAGGTGTTGTGAGCAAGCACGCGCATTCAGTCCAGGTCCCCTGAGACATGCTGTGACTGCTCAAAGTCTGACACAGGCACAAATTATGAAGACTTGGCTTGCTCCACAGGCTAGACCACTGTAGTGTTGATGGGAGATGGCAGAGACCCAGGCCTGGGCCTTCCTCGCCTTCACTGATAGGCATGAGAAGGAAGCAGAGGCAACTCAGAACCTGTGTTCTTTCCTGATGAGGGAGAAGATGGGAGCCAGCTAATGCCCCTCTTCATTAGCATGCTGACCAGAAACTGTCCAGGCTTCAGCATACTCCCTTAATTGCCCTGAGTGAGAGAGACCTCAGGGGATTTCCTTTTTCCTCTTTGTACTTTACTGGCTGCCCTTATTCTGCATTGCCAGTGAACTCCTGAACTACTAAATCCTTTCCACGGTTTATCTTCCTCTGAATAATAAAAAGAGGTGCATCTGATTTGGTTGTCCTTTGTTGCATACTTATTATACTGGCACCTTTTATTATGCTGCTATTTTTCCCAGAAAAATAACAGGATTGACTATTATTTTCTAGGACCACAGAGGGTAATGTATGCCAGAATATAGAGACAAATACACACATGGCGAGCTAGTTAATATTTACACAGAGAATGAACTGAAGCTGATCTTGTGTCTTTCATCCTTGAAAAAGAGAACTATTTGTGTATGTGTGTGTGCTGATAAGATGAGACAAGAGGAAAAAAAAAAACAAAATAAAACACTATTAAAGAAGATTAAAGGCGATAACATGGATGGTCTTGGATGGTATTAGATGTCAGACACCACCTTAGCTTCATTTGCAATTGCTGTGCTAAAAATAGCCTGGCAATAGTAACTTGTGGGAGAATAGGTCCATTGTTCACCATGGCAGGGAAGCCAAGGCAGCTGGTCATGCGGCAATGCTAGTTATGAAGTAATGGGGAGGGAGGATCGCTGGTGCTCAGCTAATTTTCTTGTTATGCTGTAACCTGGAGGTAGTCCAGGGAGTGGCCATCCATGGTGGATGTGTCTTCTCCCCTCCACTAACTGAATCAAAACAATTCCCCATACCGCCAGAGGCCTGCATCCCTTGATCTATTCTACACCTCATCAAATTAACTACTGTGGTGTATCTTCACAGACCCAAATGTGTGCTGGGGGCAGCTTTGTTTCCTCCACTCTGAACAGCGCTTGACATCTGCAGCATGTCCTATAGTGTGTTTAATTCTGGCATAGCCAGTCTGATTTGGCATCCAACTCCGCAGGACCAGAGTTCAATCCTATGAGCGTCCCCATGGTAGAATGTCACATGCAGGTCTCTGGCCTTCCACCTTCTGCCCCACCCAGTGAACCAGAGCATCACAACTCCTCCTCGGCTTTGCTTATTTACTATCACAATCACAAAATCACAGATGCCCTTGGTGTCATAAATACTCCCATCATTAGCATAAACTGCCGAAAACTACAGATGCTCTTCTCATTCAATCACTTGGCAGTTCATCTGTGGCTTCCATTCTGCTATGAGTCTGTTTTCTCATAACAGAAAGGAAGCCACAGATGAACTGGGATTTTGATCCTAGACAATACTGGAAGAAGTGTTAGGGTGGTACATTTTCTGGACCTTTCTTCAATTCAAGTTGCTTCTCAAATTTTCCAGGATAAGGTCGAATGGAAAGAGGGTGAAGGAGATAGAAAGGAGCCTAGCCCCACAGCCCCTGTGCTGTGTACTCCCCTGGGACACAGCTTAAAATACATTGAAGGTTTTAAAATAAAAGTGACCTGGTGTTATGAAAATCTTTCAAATGGATTTATGTTTTGCAGTAAAAATGATTTACAAATATTATATATGAAATAAAATGCAAAGTGATTTCTTACCATCTTCCAGCAAACCTTGCGGCTATGTACATGGCAATACTTTTTTTTTTTCTGAAATACCAACACTTTCTCATTGCTTTTCACCTTCCAAGAACCATATAAGCATTAAATAATTAATCTACACAGCACACAGGGGATATGTATGTAGCTAGCAAAATTATATGATATGTACTTCTTATTTTACCTAGAGAGAAACTGAGGCAAAGGACATAAAGGCTGCATAAATAACTGTGAGGAATATTTAGTCAGCTTATTATTGTTTCTAGCAGCTCTTTAGGTCATCCTTCACAATGCAGTGAAAACCCTGCAAAGCCTGAGTAAAGGCAACAAATTCCGGCTGGCTGTTTCGTTTTGTTTCATTTTATGTAAGGAATAGAGCTCTTTATTCACTACCTAGTGCTAGTAACTTACAATGTTCCTTAATATCCCTCATAAAACATGTTTTCTGGATGAATTAAATTCAAGAAAAGGCCCTTCAAACCAAGTCCAGCATTGAGACAAGATCCCATGATCCTTATATTACCAGAGCCACCTTAGATAGTCACATTCTCCAGGCCTGATTTGCTCACTTTTATACCAGAGACAATGTATTTCATGATTTAAATTCTCAAATATCCTTTCAAGTCTTTATATCACTTTTTTTTTCTCATTTTAAATATCAATCCCAGTTTCCTCTCCCTCCCTTTCTCCCTTTCTCCCTCCCTCCCATGTCCCCCACCTACCCTTCCATTCCTCCCCCCATTCCACAGGGAGGGTGGTGCCTTCCAGGAGGGGTCAACAAAATCTGTCAAGTCATTTGGAGTAGGGACTAGGCCCTCCCTCCTGCCTCTAGGTTAAGGGAGTATCCCTCCATGGGGAATGTGCTTCCAAAGTCCTTTAATGCACCAGGGATACATCCTGGTTCCACTGTCAGAGGTCCCTTGTTCAGGGGGTCTGAGTCAGTCCCATGCTGGATTCCCAGCTATCAGTCTGGGGGCCCATTAGCTCCTCCTTGTTCAGGTCAGCTGTTCTGTGGGTTTCTGTAGCCTGGTCTTGTCTTCCCTCTCTGCATCTGGATTGCAGTCTGGCTTAGTGTTTAACTGTGGGTGTCTGCTTCTGTTTCTGTCAGCTACTAAATGAGGGCCAGCTGGTTTTTTGAACATTGGAACTTGAGGTTTCTTATACTGCTTCCTTCTAGTAATCCTAATGGGAAAATAAATGAACAAATAAATAAGACTGCCCTGAGACTTCTGCCTCCTCTGGGAAAACAAACAAATAGATAAGGTGGACATGAGACTTCTACCTCTGGACACTGGAATGAGTGCCTGCCACTTGCTTGTGACTTTTAACACCTAAAGTCACTTGGGGGAAGGTAGAGATAAGGAGTGAGAATCTTGACCAAATGGAAGACAGATTGTTTAATGGATCTTGTATAATGGTTCAAGACCTGAGGTGTCCTAGAAGAGAATAAATGCTCCATAGAGAATGTAGGTTTGTCACTGAAGGAGAACATCAGGGATGGGTAGAGGAACTACAAGGATCAAATGGGAATACTTACTTGTCTGTGCTGTTCTTTATAGTCCTGGGATTCTGCGTTTCTGTGACTAGTGCTAAGAGTGATCCTGTGTTAATGCAGAACTCACTCACCCTTTGTAAGCAACGAGCAGTTACTGATTAACACACATAGCCAATTTAACATTAAATGCTTTCCTTTCTGAAAAAAAAAAAAAAATGCCATGTTATCTTATGGTCTTTCTAGAAGACATTTAAAAAGAGAAAGAGAGAGACTCCTTGACCTATGGAGATGTCAATCATGTACTTTTCAAGGAGGTGTTGAATGGGTAAATATTTGGACATGTATCTCAACCTACTTCTAAAATATGTTAACAGATTATAGGTACTTATTTATTCCCAGGAATCATTCTAAGTTTCATGGTCTGAAAGTACTTTTTAATTATATAGAACATTGCAATTGTCAAATGGAGTAAATTAGGGTTCTCTCTGGTTAGACTGTTGAAATTCAAGTTTGCCAAAGATTCCCCAAACTAGTTTTGGGGTTTGTACATTTAGTCACATTATCATTTTCAGTACGTTGGTAAGTCATAAGAAATCATGTGTGAGTCTTGGTATGTCAGCAAGTGAAATCAATTTTAGTAAAAAAAACATTCATGAATCACATTGTGTCTAGGTATGACTTTGTGGAAGTTGAAGATATCTCTGAAACCAGCACTGTGGTTAGAGGAAGGTGGTGTGGTCACAAGGAAATCCCTCCAAGGATAACATCAAGAACAAACCAGATCAAAATCACATTCAAATCCGATGACTATTTTGTGGCAAAACCTGGATTCAAAATTTACTATTCATTTGTGGTGAGTAGCAAAATCACTCTGTGGTTAAAATAGACACTGGATTCATAAAGCTTAAAGATCATTTCCTCTAATTAAATACATCACTATGAGGGGTAGTGTAGTTAATTCCTTATCGCATGTTTTATTCCTTCCCTATAAACAAATTCTTAAAGCCTCTATTTGTAAGGAAAACCATTTTGGATCTAGTCTGTCAAACTTAGAGCCATGAATTTTGAGGGGAAATAGAAAATAGAAATGGAAAGTGTCTGTAGCAAAGTGAGGTCAATTCAACTAAAGCAAAATAAATATATCTAGCTGTGTGTGTGTGTGTGTGTGTGTGTGTGTGTGTGTGTGTGTGTGTGTGTGTGCCTCTTAACAGCCATTTTCAACATTGGTTCTGTGTTTGGAAATATTCGACCCTGTAGTAAGCTGGAATCTAATTCAAGCTTTGGAGCTGCAGATAGTCATGTATCTTCATTCCTCGTCCATTTTTTTTTTTTTTTTTTTTTTTTTTTTTTTTTGTCTTTTGTGCTTGGGTTAAATTTAGAATAGAAAAATATTATTCTGTTTCTGTTTTAATCATCTGTTGTTTTCTTGTGTTGTAAACACTGAGTGAATTCTCCATCAGAACATTGTCAATAAAAAACCTAGCTTGAGCTGACCTGACACTGGTTCCAGTTTTAATTTGGAAGCAAGCAGGACATTTGAAACTGTCTACTGTATTGGCAGTTTGTCAGTCATTTTTCTGTGCCCTGCAGAATGTCTGCCAGACTCTTCCATGAAGCAGGACCTCTGCAGGAATGTACCATCTTGGTTTGGAGAATTCAGCAATCATGTTCCTGTGGGGTCCTGCATGGCCAGTTTATACAACACACAGTCAAACAGTCCAGGCAAGAGCAGTTTCTTGCCCAAATGGCTATTTCTGCCATAATGAATGCAGCTCCATATCAAGTTTCTTTGATGCCTATCCTCCTTTCTGATGTAATTGGTGTTTGCAGGAGCAGTTGTGTAGAGAGCTTCCCACAGCTGTTTGGCCCCAAATAAACAGACAGATGCTATATTAGTTGAGAAACTGCTTGCTGATGGCTAGGGCTTCTTACTAGTAGCTCTGTAAATTCTTAACCCGTTTCTATACATCTGTGTATTTCCACATGGTCTTGGCTCACCCCAGAACACCAGATCTGCAACTCTTTCCCTGCCTACACTTCCCAAAATTCTCCTCTTCTCCTAGTCCTGGCTATCTTCCTGTCTCACTGGTTATTCATTAACTAATAAGAGAAACACATATACAGAAGGGCAACCCCCATCATAGTTGTGTCTCTTTGCCATGAAAAACCCTAAACCATTTTAAATGTCATGTTCTGAAGGTCTTTAAAAGGTTTGAAGACTATCTATCCATCTCAAATATATCTCTGTATATCTAGAAAACCTAACATGATTATAAGTTTTGACCGTCATAGGTGACTATCTATATCCTGAATTTAATTATACATTGTATTTTAAATGAGCTATATAAATGCAATATCTACACAAGAATAGAAATATATCTCTAACAAAATTGGCCTTAAATTTGTATCAATAAAATCTATACCAATGCAAAGTATTCATTTCTATATCATATTCCCCTCTTTTTCTTTAAAAAGAGATTGATTGTGATCATTTACCATTTATAATCAATCACGATTAAATAAAAAAAAACATTTATAATAACATTTGGGAATTTTGGCATCGTTCTTTCCAAACTGCTTCCTGCTGGTAGGGGGCGCTGTCATGAGGATCCTAAGAAGACACAGAAACCCTGCTGTAGTGGTCGCAAGGCTGCCCTGTCCCATGGACACTGCTTCAGTGGGTCTGGCTTGATCAAATCATGTTAGTCTGGAAGGAATCCACAGCTTTTCATTTTCTGTGGAAACAAAAAAACTTCTTCTTCCAAAGTAACATGTTCTTATACTTACATTAAAAATGCAAGGCATTTTCAAATTGTATAAATTGGGTTAATCCAGCAGCAAATATCAACAAATATCTGTTAGCACCTGTTGTTCCTTTCTCAGCAATCAAACAATTCAAAGACCACACAATAACATACAAAAATCCAGACTCTGTGTATTTTCCAACTTTACATGGTTTTTTAATTACTCTCTTTTATTTTTATTGTTTGGTTTTTGAGACAGGGTTTTTCCGTGTAACTTTTGCCTGTCCTGGAATTCTCTCTATTTACCAGTCTGGCCTTGACATCATAGAGATTTGCTTGCCTCTGCCTCCCAAGTGCAGGGATTAAAGGCGTGTGCTACCATACCTAGCTACTCTATTTCTTTTTTAACCACTTTATCCTTTTTCTTTTCTCTCCCAAGCCTATGTATATTTTAAAACACACTGTACAACCTTTTGAGTTTTTTCCTTCATCTGATCTGTCTTTACTGTACATCTTTTTCTAGCAATGAGTCTTTTATCTGCTAAACAACATCACTAAAATTAAAGGGGCAGCTGTTTTAATCTCTGGCTTTCCAAGATGGCGGTGGTGGGGGGGTACATTTACCACCAGCACATGGAGCTGTGCTCCCCACCATGGTCTATGCTGCCATCAAGTAGCATGCTGCCAACTTGAAGATGTGGGCCCTGCTGCTGCCAGCTGCTCATAAACACCATTCAATTGTTTGGTAACACTGGTCCTCTTAAAACAACTGTGTGGTTTTTGCTGCTAATGCTGAGTCAGGAAGCCTCCCTTAAAAGAGCCATGAGCACCAGAGAAAATGCTGCTACCAAGAATCCTTGCTTGCCTCTGTTGTTTTGTTCTTAGAATCCCTTTCTAAGCTTTTGTCACATTTTACATGGAAATCCATGTGACCCACATTAATGGCACCATTTTGTTGCTGGATGAAGTTAAAACCCTTCTTTTTATATAGACAAAAAAGAGGAGATGATAGGGAATGTCCTTCTGTATATATGTTTCTCTTATTGGGTTTTGGATAAAACAGTGTCTGGCCAATAAGGCAGGACTAGTAAGCTGCTAACTTTGTGGCCGACACAATTGACTTCATACTTTGGAGCTAGTGCTTGTCCTTACTGTGTCTGCCTATGACTACATCCTGGACTCACTTTCTGTCAGCATTGTTCACTGTCTTGATCATTTTTTAGCATTTGGTCTTTCCTGACTTTTTGGTTTAGCTATTTTATCCCTTATGAACACAAAAACACTTAAGATATGTCCAATATAGAATGGGCCGTAGACAAGGTAAGAATCTTCGTTCTTTTTTCTCTCTTACTCTTTTGTACTATTAGGAATTGAACCTAGGGCCTTGAACATGGTATGCAAGTACTCTATTCCTGATTTATAGTTCAGCCCATTAATTTTCCCTCCTTCCTTCTTTCCTTCCTTCTTCCTCTCTTCCTTCCTTCCTTCCTTTCTTTGTTTTTGTTTATTTCCAGAGTAGGTCTTGCTTAGTTACCCAGATGGTTTTGAATACACTTCTTAGCCCAGGCAGGCTTTGAACTTATGACCCTTCTGAGTAAAGTGCATTACCAAGCCCAGCAAGTCCTCCCTTTTACCTGGCACAGACTTTGGCTGGCTTCCCCTTTATGCTCTCTACCTTTGGCAGCCGTGAAGGAAGGGAAACATTGCTGCCACCTACAGGAGGGCAGCGCCTCTCTGTGTCCTAGACTTTGCTGTGGTCCGGGGGTTGCTTTCCTCCGGGGTGGGGGGGGTGTTGCTTTTCTCCGGGGGGGTTTGCTTTTTTCCGGGGGGGTTGCTTTTCTCTGGGGTTTGCTTTTCTCCGGGGGCGGGTTGCTTTTCTCCGAAGCCTCACACCACTATGCCCTAATGTTTCTCCTTCAGTTGGCATTTTATTTCAGCTCATCCTTTTTGACATCCTGGCTCGTTTGAGACCCTCCCCAGTCAATTCTCATCACATTGCTCCCTTTTATCTGTTCCTATTGGCCCTTTAAACAATCTCTGTACAACACCACAGCTCCGTCCGACAGCTCTCAAACTTCCAGGACAGTGTTTTCAGGGGGAAACTGAGGTGAGTAGATTCTGCCATGGATGTCACTACTCATGCCTTACAATTCTGTGTAAATCGCCAAATACCAGAAGATGTTCAGAATATTTTTAAAAATGTGTCTGCCTTTATAAAACGTGATGGAATTTCCACAAAATTTAAAAGTAAAAGGAAGAAGTTCCTTTACTACCGCTATTTAATAATTTAGGTCAGTCACTGGAATGATCAAATATGACCCCCATACATTGCATGAAATTCTCAAAGAATTAATAAAAATATTACAATAAAAATAATTCAACTTGGAATGACAATTAGGTTCTCTCTTTCTATTAATGCCATATGTAACAGCCTCCGGACTTATTCGCCTCTGCACTACGAAATGGTTCAATATGCCCCCAGATATCAACTAAATTTGGCAGCTTAATGACTCTTTAGATCCCAAAATTTTATGGATATTTTCCAACTACTGCCAGCAGGTGGGTAAATGGAAGGAGTTACGATACATTCAAGCATTCTTTATCTTAGCTTTAAACATTCTATCTGTTCTTCCTCACTCCCTTTCTTGGTTGACCAGCATAAGCTCTCCCTACCCCCACCCTTTTTCCTAATAAACTCTACGTGGGCTTGTTCAGCTCCGTAATTCATTCCTCGCCACCACCACCACCACCACCACCACCGCCACAGCCAAACAACACTTAGTATCTCTCAAATGTGCTAAGACATCACCAACTTTAGAGATGCCTCTGAATGAGGTTTCTCCGTAGGAGCATTGAGTGGGTCAGTTATTTTAATCAGATTGTTACATGTATAAATATGTAACAGAGCTGTGATAGAGCTCATAACCAATGAGACAAAATGTGCTGGAACCCTGGAGTAATACAAGGCTAGGTAATAGGTGAAGGGATTCCTTTGGTGAGAGGCAGCAGAGGGGGAGGGAGGGGAGAAGGACTGAGAGGGCGAAAGGGGCCCAATCGGTGAGAGAAAAGAAATGCTTTCTCCATTCTACACTGGTTTCAATGCACTGCA